GGTTTTTTTTTAAAGATATTCTCAATTCCTTACATTTTTTCGGTTGGATTTGGAACATATTGTCGTTAGACCAAGCGGATGCCTCATTGGCCGTTAATTACATTGAACTTGATTTATCTTTTTCCACAATTTCGAACGAGGTTGTATCGTCAACAAATATTACGTTTCCATCAGCGCTGGATATTTCTAAGTCACTCATCGATCATTATTAAAAATAGCCATCGCCCTAATTTAGTGCCCTGCGGAACGCCGGCCACTACATCTGTCCATTCCGAGTATATATATATCATTTGCCATTTTTACCCTTTGTTGTCTATCCATCAGGAAATCGCATATCCAATTGATGATATAGGGGTTGATATTGTAATCTTTTAATTTCGTGATGAGCAGAGAATGATCGATCAGATCGAAAGCTTTCCTGTAGTCCATAATCAGCACTCGCACATCTGAGCTCGTGCCGCGGTGGCTTTTGACCGATGGTGAATAAGTGTAGGTTATTTTGAGGCAACGAGGGGATATGTGATTTATTCACCGAGGCGCGCAGCGCCGAGGTGAATAAACACATATCCCCGAGGTGCCTCAAAATAACGTACTTATTTTTCACACTGCGAGGTCGCGTTAATGAGTCAGAAAAGAAATAATTCTTAATGCCATATTGCCTTCGCGATGTTGTTTTTTCTCATTTTTTGTGCTGCAAAGACATTGCAGGTGAATATTAGAGGGGATTATTAATTGCAGGTGAATATTAGAGGGATTATTAAACGGAAATTGATTAGAGGAGAATATTGAATATATTCCCAGACAAGAACAAAGGAAACCGAGCAGGCTGAAAAATAAGGTTGATTAATTAAAGCGTGGGTTGTTGAAGATTGTGGGATACAACCGTACTGGTCTGGTCGGATGTGCTTGATAACGGCGGGTTTAACATGGTTTACCACTACGTACTCTTCAGCAATTTTCGATATAGTTGGGGTTAAAGAGATAGGTATAAGGTCAGTGTTAATATCGTTTACTGCGGAACTTTTTGGCAAAGGTGTAATGTTTGCGCATTTCCAGATTAGTGGTAACTGTTCCTTCTTGAAAGACACGTTGATTAACATAGAAACAGGTAGAGCCAAAATGTGAGCAAAATCTTTTAAAACCCAATTTGGTATGTTGCCTGAACCGGCTGCTTTATGTACACTAATCGAGCTCAGTTGTTTGGCTATCATTTCTGTGGTCGCATTCATAAGGCTTGTCTCTAGTGTGTATCCTTTTATGAGCAGCAAAATTACCTTTTTGTCTAAATTTCATCTTACAAATATCACATTCATAATGTTTGCCAACTTTGCCTGTAGTGTGCGTTCTTTTATGCCTCTCTTCGTACTGATCAGACATGATTAGATTCAAGTTTTCCTTTTCTCACCACAAAATGTTTCTTCTTATTATTAATTTTAAAGAAATAATTCCAAATTTTGATGCATTTTGAGTCTTTTTGACTGACCGTATTTTATTTCAAGGCTTTGTGCGCTAGATAACAGGTGGGAAATTTGTCTGCGCATGCGCTACATTTTGCGCGGTTTAAGAGAAAGAGACTTGGGGCGAGACAGGGCGAGTAAATACAGTAATTTGATTTTTGAGCGTTTTTGTCTCGTTTTTTCTGCTAACCAAAAACTTGTTAATCCATTGCATTGTTAAGAAGGCGAGGAAGATATGAGAACGTTAACAGGCTAAAAATATTTATAAAATTGAAACTTTTGCCTAACCATATACATCGGAACTGCCTCGAATTCCGATGGAAATGTCCAATAATTCCTACTATTCCGTATTTTTAGATGAATGAATTATCTCCCAAACCATTGGTTTTGAGGCTCTCGGCTAGATTTGAAAATATTTTAATTTTTTATTTCATTGTGCTAACCTTTACCCCGATAAATCACCCCGTATTAAATTGGAGAGGCGGAAACGTATTCGTATGATTTCAAAACTGCTCATATTTTCTGAATCAATAGACTCTAATCTTTCAACGAATATGCTTTTACGAACAGGATTAGCAAACACATGCAATTTCTAGCGGGATATTCAGAGGCACCTATTCAGACTACTACAGACTACACTGATTAGACGGTTGTGCCGTTTTTTATATCAACCCGTATTTTCATATGAACAATACTTTGATTAATGAATTAAGAAATCTTTGAAGAATCATTTAAAGATAGTCTAGTTTTGAGGCTCTCGACTAGATTTTTTACAATCTTAAGTTGAAAATTTAACTTTTTCCTATTTTTAGCAAAATCACGATTTTTGCACTAAGTGTTTTCAAGGATTTAATCATAAATAAACTTTCCAAAGATATTTCTGAGTAGAAAAATGCGTTAAAAACAAATTTTAAACCCACCCAGAGTTTTTTTTAATTTCATCTGTCCAGGGAGTGAAAACAACTTGCATCTTCGAAAAAAGTTAAATTTCGTCAATATTTCGTGGTATAAATAAATAGTTCATAATTGTCCGATTTCACTTTAAAGTATTATATCCAGGACATTTTTCAATAGCCTTTGAAGCCCAAAAACTTGTTTTACTCATTTTTATAATTTAAGACAAAATTTTCGCCGGCGCCCGCAATTTACTGACCAGCGACAGCAAATTTCCCACCTGTTGCGCTAGATGATACCGAAATGGAAAGTGAAACCGCTGAACAGTGTGATCAGATTTTACCATTTTGGTTAAAAATTTACTGGTTATTATTAAACTTGGTATTTAAAAATTACTAAATCGAGCTGAAAGAGCGTAATCTTGAACGTCTAGCCCAAGCCGGCCATTTGGAATGTTCTCAGGGGTGACGGCCTCTCCTCAGCGCAATGTAATGGCCAGGAATATGGCGGCCGCAAGAGGGACAATTTGCCCAGGGCAAAATTATTATTTTACAAATAATAGCCTGACACAATCCTTAATCCGATCGCTTTCCACCCAAAGCAAAGTTTATATTTAGTATCCAATCAAAATGTCGCAGGAGACATTTAAATTTCACACAACGACAACAACAATCTAATTATAGTTGTGATCACTATAAATATATCAACGACAATATATAATGTAATTAGCACCAACCAATCAAATGACAGATTAAAAAATCTTTTGTCTCATAAACCAATCAGATTTACAACCGAAATACGGTTGTAAAAACATGGACTTTTGTTAAGATTTGTATCATGCCTATTTATTTATTTATAGGCCTGATCGCAGGTTAGGGTAACATATGCGTAGAAACCACAGTTAAATATTTCACAGAATGCAGGGATTTCTATTCTAGAGACTCTAGATTGCAAAATTATCGCGGGGGAGGGCTCTGCCGTTCTGGATTATTTAAGTACTAGTTAAAACATGAGCAGCCGATCTTTATCTGATATACAAACTCGAGCCGAAGGTGAGAGTTTGTATATCAGATTTTTTTATTCCATGCCAGGAATACACTGTTTAGGATGAAATCCATGTAAATAGTCTCAATAACAGTCGATCGGAATTATCAAAATATGAAATCAAATATGCGACGTGCGATCGGAAATGTATATAAATTTGATGTCACTGCGGTCTATTTCATCCGCAATTTGAACCGCTTGTTCGTAGCTTTTGATGGCCTCTTCATTTCGGCCTTCCGTTTGGTAACAATGTCCTAAAATCACTACATTTTCTGGGGAGACAATTCTATCACCATATGCGTCAGGCCTGCATGTGCGTTATACAGAAGTGACAGAAATGTGCGTTATACAGTAGAAGTTTTCATATAACACTAATTAGGATCCCTTGCGAGCTTACGGGCTGCTAGAGCATGCGCAGTTTACTCGTATTTCCCACGTGGCCAAGGACATTAATTTTTAATATATACATGATTTTTATACATCGCTGAATTTAGAATTTAAATATTTTGTAAATGCTAAATTATGACATCTTCACAGCTATTCCAGAATTTTAACCATATCCACAATTATAACTTACGAGGTTCAGATTCGTCTCTCTTTTTGCCACGACCGAATACCGAGTGTGGCAAAAAATGTTTCCGATATAGGGGGGCTAAAATCTGGAATAGCATTCTGGAACAAGTAAGAAACAGCGAATCTTTAAATTCTTTCAATAGGAATATTTCCTCTGTTAGTCTGATGAATTAGCTATTTTAGTATTGTACCATTTGTTTTGTAATGTGTATTTTCTATTTTCGTAGTTCTTAATATTGTTAACGATTTTGTATTTTATATTTTTATGACATTTTATAAATTATCTACAACCCACTTGGAAAGCAGCTTCGGTTGAAGTGGCTAGCGTAGTCAAATAAAGTTTTATCCTATACTATATATAATGAACGTTATGACGTCACGATGGGAAATACGAATACAAAATGTGGAAACTCGACCGAAACAAGATGGCGTCTATAGGTTTCAAGGAAAAAACGTTCAAATTATACGAAGAAATATCAAGAAATGTTTTGTAACATCTTAACGTACGTACTTACAAAAGAAAAAAGTCTGCAAATGGGAAAGAACTGGTCATTATTTCAACGAATTGAACCCACAGGTGCCGATGTCTTTTTCAAATAATAAAACAACAATAAACTTATATTGTTGAATTCACTTTTCTCAAGATATGAGGAATAATCAAACCCGACTTTTGTGCTATCAACCAAAGCCGAAGGCTGAGGGTTGCATCATATACGTATTTTTAGTAACTCGGAAACCGTACGGCTGAGTCCTACAACAGGTCTATTTTACCGCAAACATCCTCGCAGACACATGTACGCCTAACAGTAACGTAGCCATTTTTAAACAAGCTGCGAGTCCGATCTAAAGCCCTACCAAACGAGGATGAGAGTTGGCAGTTACTATATCATGTATTTTATTTAAGTTAAAACATAGTTGGAACAACTCACCAAACGTTTATTCTAGTTGCATGAATGCCAACTCTCATTAACTTAGTTTCTCGTTTGACTAAGTATAGGGCTTAAAACCACGATGGTTACAATAAGTACCGTCTCCTTCAAACAACAAAACTCAAATGAGATATGCTTGCAAATTTTATTTCATTGTTATTTAGCCATAATTTAAGACTTCAAATAAAATATAAGTTTGTTATCCATGCTCTTTAATTCCCCCTCCCCCAACTGTTTAATATTCCTGTATACATTTAAATTATAGACACGTCTTTATCATAAAAAATAAAATAAAAACATCAGATTTACCAATGAAGTTACAGGGCTGACGTCACACGATGGTAATTCGCAGATGAGTAGATTCTACGTAGGTGCGGATGTCGTAGGTCTAGAAATTGAATATCAGCAGGAGAGTTAAAGTTTGAGAATGGGCTTCCGTTCCTTCATCAACTAGCTGGGATGTTTAGTATAATCTGCAGACGTGTATGTTTCGGCGTCCTACGCCTCATCAGTGCAGCTCGGTACACATCTGGACACGCGATGACTTTCGTAATTCGTATTGATATACATGCAACTTGCTCTCCCAAGCGCATGCGGTACAACCAGTGAACTATATACATGGAAAGGCTGACTTCAGTCAGTGACGTATAATCAAAAAGTGAAGCCAAAGATGGCGGATTTTGAAGGCATTATTGCGCATCATTTTCAGTCTCCTTACCCACGCGGCCAAATATTTTTTATATTTTTATGGCGGGAAATGATGGGTCGTGACTCTCGGGTTCTGTTTTTCTTCATTTTAAAAGAGCAAAAAAGGAAATGAACTTCATTTATTTCATGTAAACCTGATTTCCTTCATCTACTCGATCTGTCTACTGCATTTTCCCACTGTATATATGTGAGTAAATCTGTATTTTTCGTTGCGAATTCAACAACTAAATTCAAACTTTTTTTGTTTTTTTTTAAATAAATCTGTATTTTTATAAATTGGGAATTTAGTTTTACTTTGGTTGTTTCGCTTTCTTGTTTCTATGGTGCTTTTCAGTTTTCACACCATTATTGGCGTTCAGTTTAGTCCGTTGCTTTTTGACTGCAGTTTCTAGCCAATTTAATTCCATACGTAAGAAAATTTTGTTTTTTATTTTCTATTTAATAAAATCACTTTGATGATTGCCTTATAAACTTAATTAAACTCACGTTTATTTTAATGAGTGTGTGAAACTCTTGTCAATACAGGAATCGCGAAATTCGATTGCGCATCCCAATGACGCGTTCTGAGTCGGGCAAAGCCCGAATTCAAAGAAAAACATGTAGCTGTGGCTGGATGATTTAAATATGCGCATTAAAGTATTCAAATGTTCAGTCATGCATTCGTGTTGTATTGTAGTAATATGTAATCATGAATGCATGAGTGAACATTTCGATACTTAAATACGCATATTTTAAATCAACCATTTCAGAACCATCCTCAGAGATACGAAAAACCAGTTTCATATTATTCTGACACTACAATCGAGCAACGAAAAATTCGTTGACTCGAGCGGGATTTGAACTCGCATCTTCGGGTACCTAGACCGCCGCTCTACCCATTGAGCTATCGAGTCAACAGGGATTGGTAGCGAGTCTTATCCAATTAAGTGCACGAAATATTTTCGTGACGACTTTTAAGCGTTAAAACGCTTGTCTTAGAGGACGCGCAGTGTTTCATTTCTATTTCAAAACCATCCTCAGAGATACAAAAAAACAGTTTCATATTAGCGTTTCATTGAGCCAACGAATTTTTCGTTGCCGAGTGCTCGATTGCAGTGTCAGAATAATATGAAACTGGTTAAATCATCCAGTCACAGCTACATGTTTTTCTTTAACTGTGATTTCTGCCCGAATTTCGCGATTCGTGCATAGGGGCAATAGAGATATTTTGAAACATTGAGTGACATTTGTGTTTTGTTTTGTCACTCTTTGTCATTTACAAAAAACAACAATCCCGCTCTATTTTGCTTCCTTCCCACTAAAATATCGCGTCTTTTAAATAAATAATATTTAAAATTTAGAACTGAACCCAAACAAAACACCAGAATTCAACTTTTCATTCCAATTTCGTCTGTTTTTACCAGGTGTTTACTCGGAAAATAAAGAAAAATGTAAGTTTAGTTGACCGCGCACGTAAGGGGACTGAAACTGACCTGCAAGAATGCCTTCAATTTCCGCCATGTTTTGCTTCACTTTTTGAGCTGGAGTCAGCCTGCCATGTTATATAGTTCAGTGTGCACAGCACGGGCCATCAACGCATCCAGACATGCGCAGAGTGTCATGGGGCCAATATATACAGGGTGTATAAAAAAAACTGAACAGATTTGATATTGCTCTCAATTTCGCAAAACACCTATTTGTATCCGGTTTTTTATATATATAGCTTCTTTGTGTACTTATAATGTAAAATAATGAAAAAATTTTATCAAACTCAAATTTTGTGAACCAGGGGGGTGTGTCTTTTCCAACAAACTAAAAATGGCCCGCGCACAAAATTTAAAAGCTGTAATCATATTTTGAGTTAATAGATGGAAAAGTTGTCGGGTTTTTAATTACTGTACAAAATTTCAGACAATTTGGTTTAGTTTAAGCCCTTTAACTATTCATTTTGTTCTAAAAAGTCAGCCTTTCGCATGCTTAATTAATGCCTTTACCTAATTTGCATATTGCTGACATATGCAAATTAGGAAAATGCATTAATTAAGCATGCAAATAGCTGATTTTTAGGAAAAATGTAACTTTGCGTGAATAGTTAAGGGGCTTAAACTAAACCAAATTGTCTGAAATTTTGTACAGTAATTAAAAACCCGACAGATTTTCCATCTGTTAACTCAAATTATGATTGCAGCTTTTAAATTTTGTGCGCGAGCCATTTTTAGTTTGTTGGAAAAGACACCCCCCCCCCTGGTTCACAAAATTTGAGTTCGAGAAATTTTTCTCATAATTCTACATTATAAGTACCCAAAGAGGCTATATATATAAAAAAACGGATACAAATAGCTGTTTTGCGAAATTGAGAGCAATTTTAAATCTGTTCAGTTTTTTTATACACCCTGTAGTTTCTTCGGGTGCACATGAAGGGTGACTATCTAAATATAGCCATGATACTCTATCATAACCACCTCTGCCTTCAAAGGACATGGCTAAATTTCGTTGTACGTGTTAACCCCGTAAAGTATTAAGTCTCTTTTCTATTTATTGCCAGACTCAACTGACAAGCTCGCTGCGAGTTCTTTCAACCAATCACAATACTCGGCAGTTTATTTTAAATAGATACAAGCACTGCGTGACAGCGAGCTTATAAGTTGGTTTCTGCGATGAGTGGAAAAGAGTCCTTACAGTGTTTATTTAACGACGCCCTCTCTTCTCCCGCCCGCACTAAACATCAACCCGACCTCCTGTCTTTGCACGTTGGCATCTCTGCATGCCAATATTACAATCACAACACCTTAGTATGGACATTATTAAATTAGTAAAGTCGCGGGACTAAAAAACTTCGCGAAATTAAATACCCTAGTTATACTGTAAATACGATCAACAACAACATGTACAGCTCATATATCGACATAAACAACAAATAATTTAATAATATAAACTAACGAACAAACTCACTCAGCGAATATAAAGCGATGCCAAAACTTGCGCCTCATGTTTTATATCTAATAAGCACTTCTGCTCGTGTTTTAAATAGTACATAAACTTAGGTTACTTACTGTGGTAGTTGTGGTCTTTTGAGTATATATCGTCTTACTTCAAAGATGACTTGTCGTACTAACAACTGCAAACGAGAAAAATATTTCGTATACTAGAAATACATGCATGCAGCAACCCCTCACCTTCGCAGGCCCCCTTTGTTTTGCGCGGCCAATTGCCCCCTGGCAGTCCCATAATACATTGCATTTTGTGCAAATGCAATGTATTATGGGATCGCCATGGGGCAATTGGCCGCGCAAAACAAAGGAGCCTGCGATGCAATGTATTATGGAATCGCCAGGGGGCAATTGGCCGCGCAAAATCGGAAATGGCCAACACTGAACGCAGCCGCAACACGATATTTTTAAATTTTCATTTTTTGTACAAAACGGTAAAATAGTTGAAAGATTAGGACTTTTAGAAATACAACAATGAATTTCCGAAATATATCCTGTATAGGTATGTTATTTTGCATTTTGTGAGCTTTGATTTAATGTAAAATTTAACTTGAAACGCTTCGTAAAATGTTTTGAAATGTTCATTAAACTAAACTACATTTGCCAATATACTGTTTATACTTAATGAAGCAAAATAAGTTCAAATATTTAGGTAATTTCAGTTCCGTCTTCAAATCGACTTGCTCTCCTTTAAGGGTTTGTTCTTAAATTAAACAGGGTCATTTAGCAAACTTACAGCTTCGTTGGAAGGAAAGTAGTTCATCTTTTAAAGGCAAAAAGTTAAAGCAACAAAATTCATAAACATTAATAATCCAAAGCAAACTTGCCCTATTTTTCACGATTTCCCATAGTAATAAATTCTTCTCATTTCTTCAAACAAAAATTGCTTCAAAGCTCGTTGTATATGAAACGATTTTCCAAATATATGTCCACTTCAGACTTCACTAATGCTGTCCTTTTCACGGGTGTAAATAGCCGGACGCAATTAGTACCCTCGCCCTGGGAGCGCCGTTGGCTCGGCGATTATTTCATGCACAAAGAGCTTGTTCCCACTATTTTCTCCGACTTATTATTGACATTTTACAGCCTGATACTGTTTGCATGGCATTGTATACTACTTTTTTACTCCATTTGTATAACGTCAGTTTGTTTATAATGTTCGAAAGTTCGAACAAAAGGTCGGGACGTTCTCGAAGACATGCATGATACGAAGACGCTGGAACTATATGACGTTCAGAGTATGGACAATTTCTCATGTACAAGGTAAACTATTAGAAGGAACCTTATATAATATTGCCTCACACTAATCGCAGTTTTATCGTACAAGTAAGGTCTCTATTCATGTATTAGCGAGCTCCAGCAAGCGACGTTTGTGTCAACACGGACATCGCTGAAAAATTGGTATATTAACTAATTTCGGCGGCATCACACCGCTCGTGTAAGGAAGAAAAAGTTTTAAAAGTCATATGTGTTGAAGATTACTATAAACTCACACAAACACAGTTTTGAATCCAGTGCCTCCTCGGCAGTCTGACGTCCCTGTTCACAAAAACGTCACTTGCTTAAGCTCCCTATTTGAGAGCTTGAGATTTGACTACGAGCTAGTATATGGGGCGCCGAAGCGGACAAAACTGCTATATGCACAAATATCCATGCTCTTCTGTAAACAGCATACAAATGCATGCTAAGTTAAAATAAAAGCACTCAAAATTCCAAAAACACATCCTGAAATCTAAAAATTCATTCGAAGGACACTAAAAATTAAACAGTTCTTATCAGTTCGCCAAATTATATGCCTGCTAATCAATATTCGCAAAAATACATGCCAATTGACAAATATACATGCTAATTAATATTCCATCATGCTAATTAATATTCCATAAATTAACAGAAGTATTCGGGCAAAGACATTCCCGCGCTTTTCTGCCAAACAAAAGTAAAATAAAAATGGCGGACGATCGAAGGACAAATTTGCTGCAAGACGCATTTGATCAGATTGCTCGTTTAACAGGAGTTAGTCAAAGTGAAAATCGTCCTGTAAATCCCAGTAATAATGCATCGGCATCAAATTCTGTAAGCATGGAACTCAGTAGAAGATTTCCTTCGTTACGAATGCCAGCTGCCGGCCCTACATCTGTGAGTCCTGCCACGTCGTCAGGCGTCAGCCACTAGTAACTCAGCCAACAGGGCCACATTCTCTCGCTCAAGTTCAACAAGAAGCCAGGCGAGTCGGAAAAGAAAACGAACAGTAGATAAACCATCAAAAGTTATTTATAAAGATCTGGTATTCATACCAGATCCAGAGGAGGAGCAAGTTCCCACACACACGGCTCGAGTCACGCTTGAAACAGACGGGAAAGTTATTCATGGATTCCCTGTAGACATGGAGTGGGATGCAAGGTCGCTACGGGGGAAAATATGCGATCAGATTCCCGAACTTCTTTTTTCTGAGTTTGAATATGTAAAGGTAACTGGGGCCATTCATTTAATATATTATATATACACCCCCGTGTTGACGACATTCTCTGAGCCTGAGATGTATAGGAAAAATGGGCTATTACATTTAATTCCCGTACCCCCCCTGTCGAGGACCTCATTTTCCAAGGGGGAAATTAGTAATTTTTTCCAGAGGGGTAATTGGGAAAAATGGAAGAAAAATGCTCTTTCCAGAGGGGTTAAAAAGTAAAAATGCACTTCCAGAGGGGGTTCAAGTCTCTTCCAGAGGGGTCAATTACACAGATTTTTTTGCATTCCAGAGGGGTAAAAATCCCAAAAGCAGAGGTCCTCGACAGGGGGGTTTGGTTTTTTAATGTAATAGCCCAATTGAGGAGTCACTATACTGGGGCATGAACTTTTTGCACCAGTCATTTGAAACCCCCGACCACCCCTCCCCCCCCCCCACGTCAGGGACACCGGGGGAATTTACTCTCTTTGTGTGTGAACCTTTATCCCCCAGTCACCGAGGAAAAAGTAGGGTAAACAAACACCCCTGGCTTTTTTCTCCTGATATTCGATTTAGGTAGCTTTTAAAATCGCTATGTAAAAGCCTTTTTAATGCGACAGTTGTTTAATTAAAAGAAAAAACGTCCCGGAAATCTTGTGTACTTAATTTTAATTAAAACCCTGACAAAACATGACAGTATTAACATGTCAAATTGTATCTGAATCATTTTGTATAATTTTATTTTATATAATTTTTTTTCTTATGGTATATCTTATTGCAAAATTTTACGTAACTCGCTGTTGGTCTCGCATTCCCCAGTGACCAGGGAAGGACAAAACAGTGAAAATGAGGTGAATATCCCTGTTATGTGTGTGTGTGTGTGTGGGGGGGGGGGATCGGGGGTTTCAAATGACTGGTGCATAACTACCTGTTGACAACAATTCCTGGGAGGTCGGTGAAAATTTTAAAGTTTCTGAGGCAAAAACATTTTTCTGATGGGTCATAATATCAGGGGATGTTGTCAACAGGGGGTGTACATATGTTTTAAATGGAGTGATCCAAGTCTCATTGGAAATTAGCTATTATCTATCTGTAACCATTCCCCTCTTGGCTTTGTATCTTATTCATTTAGGGGCCGTCAACAAATAGATTTGAACCCCCACCCCCATTGCATACCAGACTTTCTACTATTGCCATCATTCAAAATCTTGATGTGAGCTGTTATAGTGTAAATTGTTGAATTTACTTTAGACAAATTTAAATTTAATTGTACATACTTTTGTCTGAAATGTGATACATATTTGTTGCTGAGCTGTACAGTACAGTACAGTACAGTACAGTACAGTATGTTGAATGTACAGTGCATCCCACAAAATAGTCTATTCTTTTGTTTTGTCCCTGTGGTTGTCAGGGAGGGATAATTACATCACAAAATTTAATTACTCATGTATTTGGCTGATTGGAGGAGG